GCGAGGGGTGTGTATTGGCTTGTGTTTAGCTCCAGTTTTAAGCGATATATTTTTAGCCCATCATGACAGAGTTTTCTCGGAACGCCTGAATGACTTTAATGGCACTAGTAAGGTTTTTAGATTCGTCGACGATTATTTAGTTTTTCTTCCCCATGACGTTTCTCACTTTCCCTCGGTGGTGAACAGCCTTTTAACAGTTTTTAGTACCGTCCTAGATCCTCTCAAGCTTACGCACGAGGTACCTGTGGACAACGTCATACAGTTTTTAGATATCAGGCTCACACTTTCGGAGCAACATGTGTGTTGGAAATACCAACCAAGAGCAAATAAGCCCCTGTTGCCTTTCAATTCATCCCATTCAAAACTTGTCAAGAGAGGAATTGTAAATTTGTGCTTTGTGAACGCCATCAGAAGGTCGTGTCATCATGCGATGCCTTCAGGTCTGAAGGAGCAGTCAGAACGCTTGGTGGCTGCCGGTTTCCCGGGAACGCTCCTGGTGTCGGTTGCAGAAAAGGTTTTAAAGAAGCTACGAGTAGTAGCGAGTCCAGACCAGGATGTGGCCCAAAAGAAACAAAGAGTGGCGGTTGTGCCTTACATGCACAAAACGGCACACAATCTCAAAAGGATAGCAAACCGCCTAAACGCTCGGGTGGTTTTTTCTGCACCCGAAAAACTTGCCAAGTTGTGCAAAATGACGGACCCTTACCGCAAACCACCGGTTGGCTGCGTGAAAAAGCATTGCAGCCCATTTGTAGATTGCGCAGATGGCGTCGTTTATGAGATCCCGCTGACGTCCGGTAAAAAGTATGTTGGACAGACGGGAAGATGTCTAAATGACAGATTGCGCGAGCACAACCTAAAAGTGAGCGGACAGCGTGACGGTCATTTGTCCATGCACTGCCATGACTGTGGCTGCAAACCTGAATTTAATTTGTGCACTGTCATTAGAAAACATAGAGATAAGACGGTAAGGGAAATTATAGAGGCGGACCTGATAAGAAACTACGGGGATCGATGTGTCAGCGTGGCGTCGATCGATTTGGCAGACAAAGAGATACAGTTCTTGCGATCAGTGGCGTGGCTTGGGATTGGTTGAATGGCGCGATGATGCAGAGTATTTATACCTTTGATTTTCTGACGATTAAACCAGTTGAAGTTAGCGCATTGTGTTGTCTCGTTCCTACCCTTCGTCCCTGTCGTGAAGCGCTATTATGTTCTCCAAGTTTCTATAATAAATTTCTTAAGAGTGACATTGTAAAATTTATGCTTCGAATCTTTAACAAGCCTCTTCAGATCGTGACTCAAGCTTTGCAGTGTCATTTTCCTAGAGTCATTTGGTTTAATTGCATTAGCTTTCCGACATCGCTTTATTTTTATTTTTACATGAATAATTTCTCTAGTGATCCAGGGGTTCTTAGTTCTTATTATTTTGATACGCGTAGGCACAAATAAACTAATACAGTGTGCTGTCACATCAGCAAAAAAATTCCACAAAACTTCGGTAGCAGCATCTAACTGGTGGAGTGACTGGAAGTCGTGAAGCGATTTCTCAAGATAATCTAAAATGCTAACGTCATCTGCTTCCTCAAAATTAAGAACCTTTTTATGCGGAGGGCGACCAAGCCTGCAAGGGCTGAAGTTTAGCGTCATGCATGTCATTTTGTGATCTGAGATGCCTTCAAAAAGTTCACATTCCGAAAGAAGGGGTGTTAGGTTTGTGGAAACAAAGATTAAGTCAAGTAATGATGATGCAGCAGAAGTCGTTCTTGTGTGTTCTGTGACAACTTGAGATAAATTATAACAAAATGCAATTTCCAGTAGTTGCTCGCAGCTGGCTCCGTCTGTTGTTCCCACCGAAAGCGTACTCCAGTCAATGCCTGGTAAGTTAAAGTCGCCTACTAACAAGATGTTTTTATTATGACATATTACAGAGTCCATATACTGTCGCAACTTCACTAAAAAGTCAACTGAGGAATTGGGAGGTCTGTATACACCGCCTAGGACTATAACCCGGTCATTCATTCTAATCTGGACCCATAGAGCTTCGATATCTTTAACCTCATCCAGTACAGTAAATACAATATCGCTTTTGATCAAAATTGCTACACCTCCGCCACGTGCTTCCCTATCTTTTCTAATTATGGTATAATTTGGTGGTGTAATTTCACTGTCTAAAATATTGCAATGTAGCCACGTTTCTGTAATCACCATAGCGTCGGGTTCGTGCTCAAGAACAATGCTTTCAATTAGGTCAACTTTATTTACAATACTTCGGGCATTTATGTTAATTAGTTTAAAGCGTGCTTTGTTGTGACGTCATTGATCCTTATCCTGCGTACTCGGATATGATGAGCACCGATATCTTTCGTTTCTAACCTCGTCTCAGGCATAGAGAACGTTGTTTATTTTGACCTTATCAAAAACCAATCTAGCCTTTGCGCCTTCCTTTCTTTCATCTGCAGTAGAGTTCCACAGGTGCTTGCGTATCTCCACGACTCTTTTTGAGAAATCCTCGTTAATGCTGATTTGGGTACCCTTTAGTTTGGAGCAATTGTTAAGAATTTTCATTTTATCCCGAAAGTCAGTGAATTTCACAATAACAGGCCGAATTCTACCGGGTATGTGCCTCCCAAGTCTGTGAATTCTTTCAATGGAATCAACCTTAACTTTCAGTATACCATCAAATACCTCATGAGTTACGCTTCTCACAAGGACTTCTTCCGTTTCGGGTGTTGCTTCACTGATACCTCTAATTATCAAATTATTTCTCCGGGATCGATTTTCAAGATCGTCGATTTGTTTGTAAAAAGAAGTAATTTCGTGATCGTGACCGGTAAGCCTGGTTTCAATTTGACCAAGCCTGCCACTAGTTTCATCGACCATTTGTAATTTTTCCTCAATCGTGTCCAGCCTGTTTTGCAGCTTCTGTACATTGATTTCCGAAGTGTCTTGTTTTACCTGAATTTCGTTGACCTTTTTAAGGATCTCTTTTTGTGTCTATTCAACATTGCGTATGCGCATAACGTTATCCTGCAATCGTATAGGCATATTCGCACATACAAACCGTTTCAAGAAAGCAAAAGTCGAGCACTTGTGTAAAAAATGTCGCACCATTCACCAGAACTACGCCGCACGGGCACGAACCCCTTTGCGGTGCGCCAAACGAACGAAATTATTCAAAGTGCATTTGACGGTTGCTAATGGTCATAATATTTGTTATGTGCTTGCTTTCTTCCTGTCTGAGTATACCAAGATAATTTCAGACACACCGTTCAGGCACAGATCCTGGGCGTCAGTAAAAGCTCGTCCAAAAAGGCTTAGCGAGGAGTAGGCGACGCTTGTTAGGGCCTTCGTCGTAGATAGCCAATCTCAGCGTTTGTGAAAATTAATCTTCTATCAGCATAAAATTTGAGTGGGAGATATATGATGACACGAGGAAGACATCATATAACTTTGGTGCAGTAGTGAGGTCGAATTTATTGCGTTTCCTTAAAAGTTCATGCGTCAACGCTGGGCTCAACTTTGATACTCCTGGGAGGATGCGGTTCGCTTTTCGCCCAATGAAGTAACAAGAAGACGTTTGGCAAACAAAATATGTGTAAGGAACCAGGTGACCAAATTTCAGTTGTAGCTCACTGGTACTAGAGGGGATTATTGAAATTGAACACAAAGGTGAGGTGACTAAGCCACGTCTTAGTACGTTTGCATACGCACACACAATATCCGGTGCTTTGGGAACCAAGGAAAGTGCCCCGGTCTTCGTTTTGTATCGCTCGAGAATGAGTGTATTGTATGTTCGTGAAAAGTCAGATAATCGAAAACGCAAGCAGCGCATTCGGTCGCGGCGCAATAGCACGAGATGGAGCTGCTCAGTCGAAACCAAAACTGAGTGGCCAACTAGTTCCCAGAGTGCACCGCGTGGTATTTCGCCGCGATGGGGCACTTTGGTTTTGGAAGAAGTCCATTCATCAATCGGTGCAAATGCAGTGGTGGTCCAGCCATTTTAGGTTTTGGAGCAATTTTTGCAGCAAGAAAAACCCAATTTTGGAGCAATTCGTATCACATAAACTCCCCTTTTGGAGCAGAGAAAAGCTCGTTTTGGAGCACCTTGGTATCAGGAAAACTAAACATTTTGGAGCAGCATGAACATAGAGCAGTTCTGTGCCATGTCTTTATTATTATATATATATTACGGCTGCCGAAAGTCCGAAACTATAGCGATTTATTAAACATGTTTGTAAGCTCTATTCTGAGTTCGCACGCAGTGCGACAGTATGACAACCAAGGGGTGACCAATCGTTTACGGCATTTGACATGAAAAGGAACACGCAACAATTCGCAACAAGGAAATCAAGCAACGACCACGCGATCGAAAAGAGTACCACGTTCGGTATTGATGCCGCTGGTCTGCCGGTGAACGAGCGTCGGAACAAATTTCTACTATGGGGTCTGTAACTTAAAACGCGCATGCAGAAAAAAAAACTACTCACGTTGGCTCCTCTTTAAGAGGACTTAGTAGTGGCGATGCAGAAATGAACAGCCGCAACGCCGCATATCAAAACGGTCGCAACAAAACAATAATGCGCAATAATGCCACTGGGCCGGAAACCTGAATTGGATTGTGATGGCTATGGTAACGGCTCTACCCTTTATATCGGGCGGCACCTTGCACCTGCTTGCACCACCTAGAGCACTATATAGGTCTATAGTGCTCTAGCACCACCTAGCCTAGAAAATAAAACTCCCCCGGGTTGCCAGCCGAAAACGCCATTCTTCCAAAAAAGGATTCGTTCACGGACCGACTAGCCCTTTTTGGCGCAATTTGTGTCTTTAGGCGCAGCAAGGCGCAGGTAAAGGAGAATTTATCAAAATGGCGCAATTGGCGCAGCTGGACCACCCCTGCAAATGTTTCAGATGGCACCCAGCCCCGACAACAAATACAAATGCTACAAGGCCTCCTAGCACCCGTCAAGCAAAGGGTGGCAAGGAAGTGAGCCCACCTGTCCGTCGTCGTCTTTGTCGTGAAGACCTTCTGTACCCCGAAGCGTAGTGGGAGGACCCTCTGAACCCCCAAGCGTAGTAGGAGGACCTCAGCATGGCGCCCAAGTTCGTCGGGTCCTGCAGCCACATCAAGAGGCAAGCCGTCGTCGACACCCCTAAACTCGCAAAGATGTACACTACACGATACTTTTAAGGCCTGTTTACACGTACGCCAACTCGGCAGTACAGACATAGCACTGACTTTGCACTAAAGACCCAGTCTTGTCCCGTTCACACACACAATGCAGCACAAATTTGGCGATGATGCAGCAGTGAATCGGCTCCGTCTCAGCGCCGGGATGGATGTGCGAACCGACATTTGGTGCAAATATGACATTGGTCCTTTCTAAAAATTTAAGAATGCAATCGTAGGCACCGAGTTGTACCGCTTAGGTTAGTACCTGAAACATGCTCTTAACAGCCCACTATTAGTATTGATAACAGCCTTGAGATTGTAAAACAAACAAAAAATAGAGACTGCTCGTTTGCGCCAACCAAGAAGACGAGAACGGCGTCTCCGTGGCCGTGTTTCAAAATTCACTCCATCTTACTCCGGGGTAAGGGTTTTGGACCTTGGCATTCTAATACCTACCTACGTCCAGCGCCTTTTAGTCTGTGCTGTCACGTGACACGACCCACCGGAGTAACTCGAATCGACTTGGGTGAGATTTGGAACACAATTCGTTGGACGCCCGACCTCAGGCACGCGCTCGCTGCCTTTAGTCATGCTTCAGCTGCACGTGCACGCTCGTGGCTCAACAGGTGCGGAAGCACTGCCAAAGGTGGGAAGCTTGTGCTGGCCTCCCCAAGTTCTCATCCTGTCAGTGATGGAGAAGGATGTTCTCAAATGCTTCTATAGACCAGCACGCGGCCCTGACGTCACGCAGCTGCGGTGGCATTGTCGACGGTACTGCGTGTGCGCAGACGCTTCACTTCACGTGAATTTGGTTTCTGCGCATGCGCAGTGCCCACACCTGGTGTAGGCAAACGCGGGCTTCTTTGTGAACAGCATGTTGGTGTATACTGAGGAGTGCCCAGGTGGCACCACTGACTGGCGACAGAACTAATGAAATACGATCGGCGGCGACCTCTACGTAGTAAAGGAACCCTTCCTCGTCTATGCGTGAATGCAATGAAGCGGCGAAAGAGCCTACAGATCTTGCAAACGACAATGGTAACACTTGGGAGTGCTTGGCTTATAGTTATGATTCAGCTATTGCCTCCAATCTTCTAAAATAGCGCTTAAACTAGAGAACACTTCAGTTGAGGGCGGGGACGGCCGAGGGAACTTTTACGAGCTGGGGGACCCTTGACTGTACTCTGGGGGGTTCCTAGAAATGCAGTTTACTTTTGGAACCCAAGGTCTCAGCCAGGAATGGCCAAACTGTGGCTCGAAAGTCGCGTGTAGCTGATCGCGTGTCTGAATGCAGCTCCCTGGTAAACATACGCCCCTCGTAAGAGTAGAGGAAAGAGTTATTGAAAACGACTTGCGTTCAGGCAGCATTGCGCCACACACCATATGTACGCCGAGCAAGGCGCTTGTTTCACGAATGGGGATGTGCAATAAGACATAACGAGCAATAGCTTCATGAATGGAATTCGCTGTGGCCACTAACTGAGACAAAAGACAAAAAAAAAAAGAAAACAGCCACGTTTTACTTTTACTCTTCACATCAAATAGTCCTTTTTCTGTGGTCTATTACATACGTCCATCTGGCCCCCCCTGCCCTAAGTGTACCTCACTCGACGGCTCCACTCCAGACGAACCCAAAAGCACCCACTGCCCGATGCAGCGAGTCCTCCGACTCACCTGATGGCTTCTGTTCGTGGTGAGGTAGTCAAGATTGGTGAGGGAAGACCGCTTGGGTGCCAATTCCCGCTGCTCAGCGAGACCCAGCATCTCTGTCCAGGGCAATGACGCTCCGGAAGATTAACTTGCTGCCCCGGATGTGCAGAGAGAACGGCTCCCGCCTGCCCGTCTTCAGCGCCAGCAACACTGAGTGCAGACCAAACATCACTTCCCCAATCACCCTGGCAGGCCTCGCGGACTTCTTGTAGACAGCCTGGTACATATACAAACTTGGACGGTGGTGGCACAAACACTCACAATGATTACCTCAAGCAATGATGCAAAGTCTGTCGGCTCAATTCAGCCACGGCGATGTAATTTCAGCTCCCGAAAGTTCACCTTTTTGCCCAATATGGCTTATCTTTCACCCCCCAATTTCGTAAAAAAAAAAAAAAAAAAAAAGAACTTTTTAGCATTGTACTTCTCTTTAATAATGATGAACTTCTTAAGCATTTCCGATCTCATCAATCATCAAAAGCTTACAATCTTCAAAATTAACAACGGACAGCACATGATCTAAACACCTTGGCAAAGCGACCCATTTGAAAAGTCTGTCTACGCGCCCTGTCTTGTGCCAAAGCGGTAAGGACGACATTATGAAGCTCCTCCACAGCAAGACAAGCGGACGTCTCTGGAAGAGCAGGAGACTGGGAATTTTCTCTACCAAGTCTGTCCTTGTTACGTCGCCTTCGATTCACTAAAGTTGAAGGTGCTTGAAGTTAGGCTATCTTGTCCTTCAATCGCCGCCATTAGAGCGGAAATATTGCACTTCTTTTTTGACGGCTCAGAGTTTTGAAAAGGAGTAAAGCGATACGCACTATGTCGTGCGCCTCGACCGGAAATGGCTATACGCACTACGCGGAGAGCTCATGCCCTTTGGGTCACCCTTTTCGGACAGCGCGTGTATCACTGGTGAGCGCATTAACCCATCCCACCGCCAGCGTTCATGCCGCTTCGCCGCGACAGTGTGCGACCACTAGCTACAAAACTTAACCCGTACACACCGCTTTGCTGCATCCAGCTGGCAACCCAAGCCCCACTGTCCCTGGTTGCAGCTCCGGAAAGAGAGTCCCATACCATTTAGTTCTGCAAAATTTCATCAACAAGTTTTTTTTTTTGTTTTTTTTTTTTCAGTGTTAATTGTAAAAAAAGAAATGTCAAATATCACCAAAATGCTGGACAAAAAAATGTTCTAGAAAGAAAAAAAAAGTATGACCACAGTGGCGACTGAACCGAGGCCCGCTGCGTATGAAGCGGACACCAGTGGGCAAGGCGACAGCAAGCCTGACATGTCGCATAAATGGTTTTTCCCTTGTACGCAGTTTTTGCTGCTGCTACTGCTGTCGCACCACAGTTCATCACCAACGGAGGACACGCGCGGACACAATCAACTGGGGACCATCAGCCTACAGGACTACGCGGCAACTAAAGTGCTCGTCACTCAGATTACAGCATCACCTCGTCACCGAGTGCACAATGACAAGGACTACAGTCACGTGTTTGATCGGCAAATGAAAATCCTGGGAGGCACTTCAACGTCGGCCTTCGGGGCTATAAAGGCACAGCTGCACGGATCAGCGATCAGTGGGCAAGGCGACAGCAAGCCTGACATGTCGCATAAATGGTTTTTCCCTTGTACGCAGGTATGTGGAGAATTTGATGATTATTCGTACCGCTCAGATGACCGTTGTTTATTGCTGTTGCCTTGCCCAAGGCGCGTGAAACTGCTCCTTGTTGCCATTGTTGATTGTCGCTGGAGAGCACTTGTGCTTTTAAGGGGAGGAGATGTTGAAGAAAATCCTGGCCCAGCCTAGAGATACAATGCGGGAAATACTGGAAAGTCTGAAAGAGATGGCGGCTAACATATCAACATTGGTACAGGGTCAGAAAAGCTTTGAAAAATGATTAGAGGCTATTGAAGCGTCTACTTCCAAGATAAAGGATCTCAGTAGGGAGCTAAATGACACACAAGGAAAACTAGTGCACTTAGAAGCGACCGTAGTAAAGCTCGAGTCAAAGATCGATGACTTGGAAAATAGAAGTAGGAGAAATAACTTGGTAATCTACGGAGTAGAGGAGTCTGACGCAGAAACGGAGCAACATTTGGTGGAAAAAGTGGTGGAAGGCTTCTTTAAAACAAAAATGGGTGTTGAAGTTAAATCTCTCGAAAGAATTCACCGTCTCGGAAGGGTGGCTAGGGGTAAACCGAGACCAGTAATCTTGCGCTTTGGAAACTACAATGAAAGGCAAAATATTCTCAGAAATGCTAAAAAATTAAAAGGAACGCGCATATTTATTAACGAGGACTTTTCGAAAAATGTTAGAATGATAAGGAAAAAACTGTGGGACAGTGCGAAAGAAAACAGGCAAAGGGGAGAGAAGGTATACTTAGCGTATGATAAATTGAAGATTAATGGAGTGACTTACGCATGGGAAGTAGATACAAACCAGAGAGTTGAACTTTACTCAGCCGGAGAAGTACCTTCACCCGAGCATGATAATTGACAGGCATCTGATTTCCCACAGGCAAACAGTGTCCTATTTATTAACCTTAATGCAAGAAGTATCGTAAATAAAACCCTCGAGCTAGAACATATTTTAATAGAGCATGACCCCGATGTAGTAGCTATCACTGAAACCTGGTTAGACTCGTCTGTGACAGATGATATCATAATACCTCCCGGTTACGTGCTCTATCGAAAGGACAGAGAAAGTAGAGGAGGGGGTGTTGCTCTAGTAATCAAATCTTGTTTAAATTCTTCAGAAATCGAGGGAGCTCCAGGCATAGAAAATGTATGGTGTAGCATCAAAATGGAAAAAAGTGAGTTAATTGTGGGAGTACTGTATCGACCCCCGCAAATGCCATGTGGATATTTGCGAGATTTAAGTGAGTTCCTTTTTAAACTGAAAGTAAGTTCCAAGAAGGTTGTTTTAATGGGAGATTTCAATCTCGGTGGAATTGACTGGGTAACGTTAGGATCTGGGAACCACGAAGTATCATGTGCTGAGGAACTTTTAGATATAGTTTTCTCACATAATTTAACTCAAATTGTTAAGGGACATACTAGAATACAAGGGAAATCAGAAGCTCTTTTGGATTTAATATTTATAAATGAGAACCTTATAAACCACGCGTATGATTGCAAGATTAGCCCGGGAGTTTCGGACCACAGCACTGTACATTTTACGTTGTCCTTAAAGCCTATGCTCAGGAGAATTGAAATTACTTCGTATAAAAACTTTCAAAAAGCCAATGACGAGTCAGTTATTGATCAACTTAGCCTGAACTATGATAACTTCGAGCACCTAGCTGGCAACCCGTTGATAGAAGTGAATGACCTATGGCTCAATTTTAAGGAAATGATACTTGAATGCACTCGTAAGTTTGTCCCAGTGGAAATAAGAAAAGAAAACTTGAACAGTCCTTGGATTACAAGGGACATAATCCACCACAAACGACGATTGTCAAGGTGTAGAGCAAGAGCATGCAAAAAACACGACGGGTTCCAGCAGGCAAAAATACAGTCACTGAGCAAAGAGCTGAAAGCAAAAATAAAAACTTCGAAAACGATTTTCTTTAATGTAAAAATGCAAAACTTTTTGAGATATTCACCACAGAAGTTTTGGCGACAATTAAAACCAAGTAAGAAAGTAATTACCGAAGTGATAGTAGAAGAAGAAGTGATTGAGGACAAAACTGAAATTGCGAATTGCTTTAACCAATATTTTGTCAGTGTTTTTTCCTCTGATAATAACATTTTACCAACATTTTGTTTGTTTGAGAATGTGCCCCCAATCGAAGACGTGGAGGTCTCAGAGGAAGGAATTTTTTCACAGCTACTTCTTATCGATCCAAAGAAAGCCGCCGGACCGGATGACATTCATAATCAATTTTTAAGGCGTTATAGCGAATGGTGTTCAAAATATCTCACGATCATTTTTAATAAATCGCTTTCAGATGGGTCCGTTCCCAATGACTGGAAGCTGGCCAAAATAATACCTATTCTTAAGACTGGAAATGCCTGTAAGGTCACGAATTATAGACCCATATCATTAATATCTACTTGTTGTAAAATACTTGAGCATGTTGTTTCAAAGCATATAAGGATGTTTTTGGATACCTACTCTGTTCTTGATGAAAAACAGCATGGCTTTCGAAAAGGCCTGTCTACCACAACTCAATTAACAGAATAAATTCACGATTTTTCTTCTGCCCTTGACAGAAGAGGTCAGATTGATGTAATTTTTTTAGACTTTCAAAAAGCATTCGATAAGGTAAACCATAATAAATTACTTTTAAAGCTCAAGCATTTACTAAAAAACACGAAAGTTCTGCGATGGATAGAAATGTTTTTGTTTTGTAGAAGGCAATTTGTGAGCATTGATGGTCACGCTTCCATGCCTTGCGGGGTCGACTCGGGAGTCCCCCAAGGTTCTGTACTTGGGCCCCTGTTATTTTTGGTTTTTATTAATGACGTTCTTCGCGATATTACAGTAAAGGCACGACTTTTTGCTGATGATTGTATATTGTATACTTACATAAACGATGATTCTGACCATGTTGAACTAAACGACTGTTTGCAGAAAATTAGCAAATGGTGCGAGATCTGGCAAATGTCTTTAAATACTGACAAAACAGTTTGCATGTCAATAACGCATAGGAGAGTTCCTTCTGTGTATAACTACTACTTGAAGAGTGAACCTTTGTCTAGGGTAGATGAATTTAAGTATTTAGGACTAACAATAACCAGTGATTTAAGTTGGAACAAACATGTCAGTAATATAGTAAAAAAAGCCACAGCTAAACTCTGGTCACTAAGAAGATCATTAAAATTGGCAACCACTGAAACTAAATTGCTAGCTTATAAAATGCTAATAAGACCTAGATTGGAGTATGCTAGTGAAGTTTGGGATCCTCACACAAAAGGTTTAATATTGAAATTAGAAAAAGTTCAAAGAATGGCACTGCGTTTTATTTTTTCGAAGTACAGAAGACTGGATTCACCAACTGAGCTCTATTCTAAGGCAAGCATTTCCTTATTAGAAGAGAGGAGAAAAAATAAGCGTTTAAAAATGCTTTTTATGATTTTAGATGGCACACTGCAGATTGATAAACATCAATTCATCAAACCCCATCTATCTAGAATCACACGTAATAAGCATACTAGGACAATCGAAGAGTACAGATTCAACAAAGAATGTTTCAAGAATTCGTATTTCTCTCGGACAATAAGGGAATGGAATACACTTCCTGAAAGCGTTGTTATATCCAAAACGGTTTTTGATTTTACAAAGTGTCTCCCATGTAACTAATAGACCTCCTGTTATCATTTTTGCTGTACCTTCTGCTTTTGATATGAGTATTAGGTGTCGTATAGTCCTTCATTTTTTGTCATTGTGTTCTGCATGTGTATTACATTGTCTACTGTTTTTTGTACTCACTCCTATCATAGTCCCCACTGGGGGACTGATAGTATTATGAAATAAATAAATAAATAAATAAAAAATCACTATGCTACACCACCCCTTTGGAAAAAATAAATGGGGGTTGTGTACATTTATACAGCGTGTAGTTGGGTCAGCCATTTCAAAGTTGCGACGAGTCACTCACTGTAGATGAGCACTTTAGCCAGTGAAGTACAACCGCTGGCCTGGGGTCTTTAACGTGCACCACGCAGCAGTAATACACGACCGCACGCCGATACGATGCTCATCCAGATCGAAACGGGCAGGGGCCCTGGGGATTGAACCCAGGATCCCTGGGTTCAATCGGAAACGAGTTGTAACCATTCGTTTTATACGAGTTGCGCGTAGTGCGTATAGCCATCTCCGGTCGAGGTGGACGACGTAGTGCGTATGGCTTTACACTTTGAAAAAAGTTTATTCTCTTTTTGGGGATGTGCCAAAAGGTCTCGAAAGCAACACCAAACATTCCGCGAATTGGCGGAAGTGTGTACCTCTGCGACTGGGGGGCATGATTTCTGGCCCCGCATCAAATCCACACCGGCGACGCCCTCATGGTGCCAAGCTTTGTTGTGGAAACACCGTTCAGGCAGTGCCGTCCGTCTGGCTTGGCACGCGGCATCGAACACACATTGGGGCCCCTCCTGAAAAGTCGACAACATAGACGTGAAAGAAGATTAAAGCGGAATAGCAGTAAACGAAGCAAGTTTGGTGCAAAATAAAAATAAAAAGAGCCCGCATGGATCATGATCGTGCACAGTACAGTCACTCTACTGCACAGCGTGGTGCAGAGGCACAACCGAGACAGTGGCGAAGGTCGCGGCGGTCGTCTCCGCGTGGCGAATGTGAACAGGCAAATTACCTGGGTCGGATGGAAGACAACGAATGTCATGCCGCGAGAAAAGAACAAAAAGCGTGAAACCCCAGTGAGCGTCCAAAACCAAGTCTAAACAGCGCGGCCAACACCAAAAAACAAATCTACCGGAAACGGAAACATTGACTGCAGTGTTGCCAACTCAAAAATTGAAAACCCGCAGTCGGAATCCCAAAAACCGCTAAAGCCAAAGCACAGCGCAAAAATGCCTTTTTAACAATTTAATTTTTGCTTTAATTCTTGCTCAAAGGTATATTAACAGAATAGATCACGTCAATATCATCTTAAAAGAAGCTTTCCTTATGTTTTGACTAGAAATCTGTCACGCCACGCCACAAGAACTTTTCTTGGCAATGCAGTGGAAGCAGACCTGTGCCAACGAGCTCGTTGACCTGTGCGCCCACCACTGATCTCTATTATAGTGGCGCCCACTGATCTCTGGATCGCGTTTGCCCGCTCCGCGAATGCGGTCACTGGCGGCCATCTTTAAGTAGAGTTATATCACCTCTAGCCAATGTAAGCTGCTGCAGCCGCTATCATCCATCCATGGTAGATAGCGTTTTGGCAGGTGGGTTGGTCAAAATAGCGTGGGTGATATTGCGTGCTTGATTAAAATTATTTGACGAAACATGTTTTGAAACACGGCGTGAACAGTAGTCCGGTTTTTGAGGACCTGGTAAAAGTTTCACAAAATCGCAGCACCGGGAGAAAAGCAGCACAGCACGTATCGAAAGTCGCATCGAAAGAAGCATCGAAAGCAGACGACGGTACGGAATCTGCTTTTGATACGAGCTGCGCTGCTTTCCCCCGGTGCTGCGCTTTCGTAGAACTTTCTCCGGGTCCTCAAAGATGAGGCTACCGTTCACGCCGGGTTTCAAGAATCTGCTTCGTCGAACAACTTCAATCAAGCACGAAATGTCACCCACGGTACAGTGTACTAGATCTACGGCTATTTTATGGCAGCCTGCCGCCATTGCGCTGTTCGCCATATTACTATGATGGTGTCACAGGTTCGGATGTGAAAGATCCCGTTTAAACAAACAAATTTGGAATTTGACTTGGACCGCTGTCCAGGTGTTAGGACCACACCTTGGCGATAGACATCCTGAGAGGCGGGAGGAACTGAGAGCAAAGCATGCCGACGTTACGAACAGTATTTTATATAAAATAATTCTAAAGTAAGGGAAAGGCGCACAGGACGTACACACATTCGAAAGAATGAAAGAAAAAAAAAATATCAAAAGTTCAATCGAGGTTGTCATACAGTTTTGGAGGGGGAGAGCCGAGTCAGCGTTCCAAGGTGCAGGTGGAGGTCCGGTTCGTTGCGCCGCCAGTCGGGGTCGAGAAGCCATGGTGGCTTGGGTGTTGTCGTGACGCACAGCACTCACTCACAAGCACTCACACCCCTCTCCGTCGAATACCTTCTCGGTGTTCGAAAAACCATAACGCCGCGGACCTGCTCAGCGCCGACCATCCACACCGTCGCAACCTTGCCCCGCGGTGTGTTCCACAAAACCTCGCGCGCGCGGGCTAAGCTCGTGCTCCTGTCCTCGGCGCTCGCGCACCCCACTCACAAACACGGCAACGGACAACAACATAACCATTGAAAAGCAAAAGTAGCTATTGAATTCTGTGACAGATGGCTAGAGATAATATAACTCTACCTAAAGATGGCCGCCTGTGACCGCATTAGATACACCTTTCCAAAAACCGCTCCTAGGCCGCCGCCATGTTGCTGATGCTGATGCGGTTGGTGCGACTCTCGCGCCCTCTATCAACTAGAAATTTTCTGCCACTCTCTGGGACTGTGAAGACCCGCTAGCGCGGTTCTCTACCTAGGTTTTTGCGGTTTTGCATTCGACGTTTTCTCGCCTTTCTTGAAAGTTTCCACTTAATTTTTTTATGCGTGCTGCGTACCCTTTCGGTGTTATCTTCCATTGTGAGAAATAAGGCTGGTAAGTGCCTGCCATTCAAACTTTTCTGCTCGACATTCAAGGGAAACGAAAGACGTGAAGGACGTCGAACGACCCTCGACGCGATTTTGCGAACATTGTTCTCCCCCCTCCCAGAGATAATCCGCGTAAAATCCTCAGCCATCTCCAAAAACAGTTGTCCGGGTTGGGGTGAGAAACGGGTCAGTCGCGTTTGTTTCTTTGCCTTGGTGCGGTTGTGAAAAAAGGAAGCTCTCCCCAAGACGTGCCCCAAAACGAAGTCATCCCGGATTCCGTCCGATCGTCAAGATGTGACTGTCGTCGACTGTGACTGTGTTATTTGAGATCTTTCTCAAATAAATTCGTTTCGGATAACGCTGCATCGTGTGGTACGTACGAATGTTAACATTTCCTCAATTGTATGTCCGTGTCCTGTCCATCGGTAAACACGTTATTTGTGAGCGTGAAAAATGCATGCCTTTCGGCCCTCTTCTGTTGCAATTTATTTTTGACAGCAAAGCCCTTTGTCGTTTCGCATGCGGCGAATCCCGCGGTGCCGTCAAAACTTATTGCAAGAAAAAAACAAATAACTAGAACTATTCATTCCAGTCGCATTCGTTCTGTCGCGCGTGTACCCAACAAAAAAAGTTTAGATTTTTTTTTTTGCTGTTTTTGTTTTTTTAAATGTGGCACAATGCTTTCTCAATGTCCTCCGAAAATATAGCGGGAAAAGACGAGAATTCAGCCGCCAGCAGCGTTTGAAACTGCACCTACGCAGGCTGCGCCTATTGAAATCACAGTCCACTCGGTTAGGGTTAGGAGGGACGCCGGTGAGAGTCTAGCCTCAAACTCAGTGACTGGGCTCACAAACGGTTTGTTGCCCCTGGGGTCGAGTGTTTTTTGGAAACCTCGATCATCCGCACCGGTGCGCACCGGGGCACTGAGGTGCGCCCCTTGATCTTCGATCAAGTGCACCGGTGCGCACCGGACGTCCTCGATCAACGAAGCGCACCCTCCCGGTGCGGCTTTTCGTTGCCCCAACGGGCACCAAGAAAATCGGCGGTGCGCCGGGGGGGCAGTCCCATCAGGCATTGCGGCCAGGAGCGGGAATCGAGAAGATGGCGGGAGCACGTGGGCGGGAGTAGCAGACGCGCAGACTATCGAGATGGCGACCTTGCAAAAACGAACACGCCTCGCAGCTGCACTAGATGATTTCCTCGGGTCTTCTGACGGCGAGACGACGAGCTTCTCACCATCGCCGTGATTACTGGCGATTGCTGCGGTGGCAAGGAGCGCCCGAAAAGCACGAACTTCGTGGAAAGCGGCGCGAAGCGTTTCGATGACAGCAGGGTACGGCTATTATCTGGTGTTTCGTCTCCTTGAACCAATAATGATGGCCAACATATACATGTGGAATTGTCACCCGCTTCGTGACCCCATCGACAATCACGTCCACGATGTTTATTTCTCTGAGACCGTCAAATCCGCGAGTAAAAGAATAGAAGCAATTGACAGCAGACGGGCACCGTGCGCCGACCTACGCAAGAAAAAACGAACAAAACGCGAAGTGACGCAAGGTGAAGCTCGCCGCGGTGCACCGGCGCGGCGCAGTTTGTCCTCGATGTTGCACCGACATCGCGCTGCACGACCGAGGAGGGCTGTGCACTGTGTTGGTTTCAGGGCGATTCCGGTGCGAGTTGATCGAAGATGCTAATAGAGATCAGTGTGTGCGCCTCTGCTGTGCGCCACCGCGCCGCGCCGCCGCCGCCGCCTGTTTTGCTCTCGCCGCCCTGTGCCGCCGCCGTAATCCCCAGAGCCAGCACGCCGCCGCTGCCGCCGCAAAATAACCCCGGCGCGCGACCGGCGCCGCCATTTTTTTATTTTTTTTTTATTTTAGGGGGGGGGGGGGGGGACAGGCAAGTATTGGAGTTTTTTTTTTTTTTTTTCTGGTTCTCTATGAGTTTTACTTACTATATTATGCATAACACATGAATAGGTACACTTGTGTCTGTATGCTTTTTTTCTCTAATTGCTACTCATGTAAATATATTAATAAATGTAGAAGTTCCATAGAAAACGGACACACGGAACGATAAAAAAAAACTAACAAAACAACAAGTCTCAAACACAGTTTATTTGAACAAGGAACGTTGTTCAAATATACCTCGAGACCCTCACCACCAAAAAAGAAACACCTTCTCTTCACTAGGCCACCGAGAGCCGGACACTCAGACAGAAGCCATATGATTCATGATCCAGACATATCTAAATGATTCACACAAACCAGTCACCCTGATGACCTCGCTTAAGGGCTAACCAGCCACATATGTGATAACAGGCAACTCCAGCTCCAGCACAGCCCTTACAATTCTTAGAAAACACACAAAACAACACCTTATAGAGTCACAAAAAACGCTTCATATCACTGTCTAATGCCAAGGACGGTGTGCCAAGGACGGTGTGCCTACACAATTACCAGAGGTCAAAATGCGCATGGTCTCCCTCAGAACTCTCCTACCATTGCTGACTGCTGGGCGAGTTGGTATTGTGCGTGAAAATAAGACATAGACAGAGGAAGAACACGACAGAGCGCTTACTTTCAACTGATTTAATCGAAGAGCCTCAGTGTAGATACACGCTGCGTCACCACATCTCAACCAATCCGTGGCCCCGCCGCGGACCGCAAATACACTATCTCTTTTTCTGCAAAGTCAATTGAAACCACGCATGACTGCAGGTGCAAACCCATTATTTGCTTCTTCCACTGTTCTCGCTACCCTTAGCGAAAAGTCGTTCAAAATCAGTACACTCGAAGTGCACTGAAGTATACTAAAAGTATACTTTCAGTGCGGTCTTTGTACTGATTGTATACTTTAAGTGTACTTAAAGTACATTTCTAGTAAAAATGGCGGTGGACTGAAAGTACACTCGTCCGTACAAAACTAGTACATGTAGTAGAATCGTAGTGCCCGCGGTAAAAAGTAGTTCAAAATCAGTTTACAGAAAGTGCACTTAAGTATACTAAAGGTCTACTTTCAGTGCTTGCAGTCGGTGTACTCAAATTATATTAACGGGTATATATATATATATATATATATATATATATATATATATATATATATATATAGTGCGATTTTTAACATCAACACA